TATAATATTAATAAAATATCCTAAAGAATAAAAAAAGAAGGGAATTTACTAATAAAAAAAAAGGGCTATAAAGCTATTTATAAAATAAGACTTAGATTTTAAGGATAAAACTATAAGAAAGGGGATATTATATTATAACCTAGTTATATATAAGAAGTAGGCTATAGGTTAGGCTAGCTATATAAGCTATAGGGTAGTATAGGCAGGGTAGATAATAGATTAATAGTTAAAGTAATTATTATATTTAAATTATAAAGGGAACCATAATTTATATAAGTAGGATTATAGTTATAATAATAATTTAAAGGGAAATATTATAATAAGAGAAGTAATTTATTATAGTATATAAGGACCCTTAATTTTACTTTATAAATAAACTTTAGCTTCTTAGCTTTTAATAATAATTATTATATTAACCTAAGCTTTACTTATAACTCTTTAACTTTAATTACTTAGTTATGGTTTATAATCTATTACTAATATAATACCTAATTACTTAGATTAACTGCCTTAATAGCTTTATTAATATAAACTACGACTAGTTTATCCCTTAGGAACCTTAGCTGTTATATCCTTATATATTATAATAATTATTACTTTAGATATAAGTAATAGTATTACTTATGTTAATCTTATTATAATTACTTATACTATTTACTTTATATATAATAAGCACCTTTTTACTAGTAGCTTATGCTAACTATTATTTTATGGTCCTTTTTGCCTGTGCTGCGCGGCAGCTTATACAGTTTGGCCTACTCTTATAACCTATATTGCAGCCTGCGGCTAGGTCGTAATAATTACTTATAAATAGATAGATAGATAGAAAGATTAAACCAGACGCTTAAATAATATTTATAATACTATATTAATTATTAGTAGGATAATTAGGTAAAATAGTTACTTATAGTATAATTAGCTTATAATAACTTAATATTAGAATTAATAAAGTAAATACTAGCTTATATTAATTATAAATTTAATCTTAAAGTATTTTAAATATAATATAAAGAACTATAAGTAAAATAAGTAATATTATAAGTAAATAAATTAAAAAAATTATATAAAAAAATTTTTATTTCTTAAGGTAAAGAATTTTCTTCTTTATAGCTTTTAACTTAGACTTAAGCTTAGTATATTAATTAATTATTTTTTAAAGCTAAGTAAGGGTAATACTTAGGATATTATATTATAAGTATTTTAAGTAAATATACTTAAAATATTATAAGGAATTAATAAGTAATACCTTATAAGAAGAAATACCTTAAAAGGAATAAGTAAAGTAAGATAATATATTAATTAAATAAGAGAAAATAGCTAAAAGAAGATTATTAGAATAAAGTAATAACTTACTTTTTGATTTACTTTTAAAAATATAGCTAGATATAGTGTTAAGAGAATATTATAAAAGATAAAGAAAGATAAAAAAACTTATAATTAATATAAGTAAAGGAAAAAAGCTACTTATAATATAAGACTTAAGCTTTAAGGATAAAATTATAGGAGAGGGGATATTATATTATAACCTAGCTATAAGCTATAATATAGGTTATAAAATAGGCCGCTTATATAAGCTACCTTATAGAGAGATAAGGCTTATATTAAAGAAATAATTAGAGTATATAAGGTAATTATAAGAGTTATTTTATAATTAAAATAATTATTAGGTAAGTTAATATAATTACCTTATAATTAAAATAACTTATAATTAAAAGTTACTTTTAAGAAAGAGTAATTATCTTATATATAAAAACCTTAATTTTATTTTATAAATAAACTTTAGCTTTTTAGCTTTTAATAATAATTATTATATTAATTTAAGCTTTACTTATAACTCTTTAACTTTAATTACTTAGTTATAATTTATAACCTATTACTAATATAATACTTAACTACTTAGATTAACTGCCCTAGTAGCTTTGCTAATATAAACTACGATTAGTTTATCCCTTGGGAACCTTAGCCGTTACATATAAACACAAAAAAGAGGGTTCTATCTTACTTTCCTTAGTATAAACCTGTGGGAGCTTTAGCCTAGTTTTATAACTTTTACTATGTTAAGTTAATAATAGCCTATCTATATTACTTACTAAAGGAGTTACTTGCTATAAACAGGGTAAGTTAATATAATTACCTTATAATTAAAATAACTTATAATTAAAAGTTACTTTTAAGAAAGAGTAATTATCTTATATATAAAAACCTTAATTTTATTTTATAAATAAACTTTAGCTTTTTAGCTTTTAATAATAATTATTATATTAATTTAAGCTTTACTTATAACTCTTTAACTTTAATTACTTAGTTATAATTTATAACCTATTACTAATATAATACTTAACTACTTAGATTAACTGCCCTAGTAGCTTTGCTAATATAAACTACGATTAGTTTATCCCTTGGGAACCTTAGCCGTTACATATAAACACAAAAAAGAGGGTTCTATCTTACTTTCCTTAGTATAAACCTGTGGGAGCTTTAGCCTAGTTTTATAACTTTTACTATGTTAAGTTAATAATAGCCTATCTATATTACTTACTAAAGGAGTTACTTGCTATAAACAGGCAGTGGTTTAAGTCCTTTATTATAGCGTACTAGTACTACTAGTAATAACATTATTTCTATGAGAATAACTATTATAGGGAGGTGGGAATAGCTAAGCTTTAGGCAGAAGATAATAAGTTTAAGTAGGAGGTATATGATAAGCCTATCATAAAGGAGGATTAGTATAAACTTGCCTATATATTGCTAGATTAACCACTAAAGGAGGAAGATATTAATATGCTTAGCCGCCAAGACATTAACGTGAATTATAACTAGACCCCTTATATTAGATAATATACTAATAAAAATATTCTTTGTAGTAACTACTAGAAGTAATATAAGGTAAAAAGCTCTTTTCTGCTTAATATAGAGTATTAGCCCTTATAAGCTTGCGATTCTTTAAATCTAGAGCAGCGCCTAGTATATAACATAGTAATAAACTACTTTTTAACCTAAGACTATTCCTAGTTATTACTTTATATAGATAGTAGTAGTAGTATAGGTAAGTCATATCTAATTAACCTGCTCTTAGCGCACCTTTAGGCCGTGATAAGGGGGAGAAGTATACCTGTCTAGCATGCCGTACTAATAGGCATTATAGGAAATCAGATATTAGGCACTACCTTATACTTACTACTTTACTTTCTGATTAATAAGGACTTTAGGCCGCTCTTTGTTATTAATAAGGCCTAACTCTAAAAAAAGCTAAAGGATATTTAATACCTAATTATTAATAAGAAAAGCATGCTAGGACTACGCTAATTATCCTAGATTAATAATTATTTTTATAAGGCATTTCCACATAAGAATAAGGAGTTCTTTAGCGGACTTAATATCCTTTTAGTAGGTAACTTCTTTTAGCTTTTTCTTATTTTATAAAAGCTGCTTTATTATAATAAAGAAGTACAGGAAGTAGAAATTAAAAGTAAGAACATGTATATATGCTTTAATAAGACTATCTTTCTAAGCGTTATTTAGTGGTAGTATAGTAATAATTAGGCAGCCTTTTATAAGGCTCTTAGGGAGCTTTAGCTGCTTTAATTATCTTATAAGTCCTAGAAACTTCTCTTTGGCTATGTGTAAGTAAAGCTAGATAATTAAGAGGTTACTAGTTTTGCTGACGCCTTACAGGTATATACCATAAAAGACTAGGTAAATAAATATAACTATTACCACCTTAACCGCCTTAGCTAACTAATTATCCAGGTTATTGCCATGAATATTAGCCCTGGCGTGTCTACTACCCCGGATAATAAGGCAGGTAACCTTATAAAATAAGTCCTTATATACATTAGCGCCTATTTAATACTTATATATAACCTTTAGTAATAAGTTAGTCTTTATAATAACGCTTATAGCATAGTGTATAATATTAGCTAGGCACTAAAGGCTAACCTAATCTAAGACTAACCATGCGTAATCATGATAGAGTTTAATAAATATACTAGACCTATATTCCTTACCACTACAAATAGTAAGAAGATTATCCTAATTCTGCTAGTAAATAAGAACTTTCTTATTAAGACCATACTCTGTATTTATACTTAGTTTCCCCTAATTATATACTACGCTATTACGGTTTATAAGTCGTAAAGCATCATAAAAGACAAGATCATAATAAACCTATTATGCCGTGACTTTTAGACAGGGTTAAGCTATATGGCCATCTTATATATAAAAACGCTATAAGGTTTAATACTAAATGCCTTATTTAACCGTAATTATCTAATATATATATCCCCCCTAAAAGGCATTAAGATAAAAATAAGGGATTAAAGGCTTAGGAGTTAGCAGGTTCTAACTTAGAATCTATATAAGAATGGCCACAAGGCTACATAAGTCTACTTAATGCTACTAAGACGTAAAAGATATAATGAATATGTGGCTATAAATGCTTTATTATCTAGCTATTACCTTTTCATTTATTAGAGACTCGTAGCCTTAGCTGATTATACGCCTTGTACCACCGCTCTCAAGTGCAAGGTGTCACGTAGTATTTTATCCGCCTCAGACGGGTATCTGTGGGGATCCCCCTCCTGATGGCACGGTCTGGTGGCCCGTGGCCCGTGGCACTCGGAACCCGGCTGGAGCCTTAAAGCCCAACACCCTCCCCCTCGTGCCTCAAGCTGCACCTGGTAACGTTCGACCCTTAAAGGACCAACACAAGCCCTGAAAACATGCAGGACAGGCATTTGTGGTTTGAGCACCGCAAATCCTCCGCACCAAAATGTCTCGTTCGCAGATGACGACCGGCAAAGATTTACTCGCAATGAGCGACGCACAGCTCTGCGAATTTATGAAAAGAAACCGCCAACCTGACGGCTCATTCGACCTTTCTGTTGATTGTACCGTATTATCCAAAGACGAGCGGGATTGTCTTGCTAGAAGACTACGGTGCGTTCTCTCTGTCTGTTTTTCTCTTTCTCTTTCTCTCTTACTCTCTCTCTTATTCTCTTTTTTGCTCTCTCTCTCTCTTACTCTCTTTTTTACTCTCTCTCTTACTTTCTCTTTTACTCTCTCTCTTTCTTTCTTTTTTTTTTTTTTTTTCGTTTCCGGATATTTTCATCTACTTACGCCCGCGTAGATTGATACAACGAGAAGTGACCGACAAGCCCGCGGCGAACTCGCGTCCGCTTGACCTGGACAAGCTCGACGCGCTTCTGCGTGATGTGGCCAGCAGAGAAGATTCCCAATCTCGCGACCGACCGCGTGCAAGGGAAAGTGAAACCCAATCGCCGGATGAAAGTCCGCAAGAGACGTATAAGCGAGAAGAGATGGAAGCGTATAATAATCTTGTTAATGATGGTGGCCACCCACTGTACCAAATCGACCTCCTGGAATCTGTTTCAAAAGACCCTGATGCGTACTGCGAGATGCTGACCCCATTTCGGCGACCGCCGCGATGGGGTAAATCAGAGATGGATACCTTTAACGTTCGAGACGCAATACGAAGACAATGGCACCGGTGGCAGAATTTCCGAAAATGGCAACTTAATAACAGGGGGATTGATTACAAAGATGCTAATGATGAGGAGGTCTTTTCGGCTCATGTTGAGAAAACAAAGCGCCATTATAGAGAAGTAGGTTGGGATGAACAGGCAGCTAGGCTTGAGACCGACCCAACCTCTTTGAAGCAGCCAGGCAACTGGTGGCATTATCTTCAAAGACACCATGACTGGCAGCGCCGATACCAGCGGGAGCTTGGATGCGAAAGCTTCTCTGATTACCAGGGCGCTGTGAAGGCGCGATTAGCTCGGCATGGCTTCACACGATCGTTCTATCTAGCGGAGGACCCCAAGCAACAAGATAAATTGACAACATGGATCGAATACCTATGCTTTGAGTACTGGTGGCTTGACCGTTATACTGCAACAAAAGAGCGCCTAAAGTCAAAGCACGATGATGCTTGGATTGAGGTAAAGAACCAGGGAGTGGTAAAAGAGGGCGAAACTCCGGGATTTATCCGCACGGACGAGTCTGCTATGCGACGTCAAGATGCTAAAGACCGTGCATCGAAGGCCATGAAAGACGCAGAATTGGAAGCAGAAAAGATTTACCACGCAACGCAGACGGACCCCGATCGCTTTAGCATTCCTAAGGAACGGCGCGTGCGAATGTTAGTCAAGGCTAGGAGAAGACTCTCAAAAGCAAAAGAAACGGTTGAATTTCTTAAACGGCGAAGTCAGCTTCTCATTGGGTTCGTCCGTGGAACCTTTGGCTATGATGATGCCAACCAAGATGTAGTTAACCAGATGAATCTTTTGAAATGGGCTGTGGCGCAGACTCGCTCAATCGAGGACGAACAGAAAGCTGCGACCTTGGGGAGAGAGGCTACGAGGAAGAGGAGAGAATCAGCCGAAGACAGCTGCATAGTAGAGCCAAGTTCCAAAAAACAGAAGTCATGTGCTTCAGAGAATGGCTCACAACCAAGCAACAGCAGAATCGGCACGAGAGACAGAAGATCATTACGCAGCAGGGATATCCCATCAGAAGACATCAACCGACAACTTGACCAAGAAGGCAATCACTGCACGGCGCAGGCTGTGCCTTTGACGGAAGCCGAGGCAGAACCTGTAACCTCGGGGCAGAGGAAAAAAGTCGCATTCCAAGATGACTCTTCAACGCCGCCAAGGCGTAGGAAATCGAAGTCAAATGCCAGTCGTCACGACTCGCAAACCAGCGACAGAGTCTCACGAGCACGGAATCGCCCAACAACAAGCGCAAGTCAGCACCCAGATCAGCACCAAACTCAACGCGTACAGGATGCAAAGTCCAGCAGCAAGTCACCCAAGCCCAAGGTGCCGTCTCAGGAATTAACCCAAGGATTACGTCGCAGCGCTCGACTCAAGGCATTACGTCGCGGAGCATGATTGATTCAGCAAGACGTAATCCACACGTCTCCGTGGAAAGAGATGGATTACAAAGAAGCACACTCGCAGGCGAGGGCATGTTGTTACAGTTCAAGTGGGTGTAAAAGAGCGGCCAGCAGGCCAGGTCGCTATCTTTAGGGTTAATGAATTAATGACGTGGTAGATTAAATAATCAACTTGAGATATTTTTTTTGGCTCTTCTCATAATGCACACCCAGATTTTGAAGAATACGCCACGGCATGCTAGCAAAGGTAAAACGCATGGCGAGAGTTCATCGCACAACAAGGCAGGTTCTACATCTACCACTGGCAAGCCAGGCTTATCCTATTGATGGAACCACATGGCCAAGCGATAAGGAACAAGTGAGCGTCTTAAGCAGGGCTTCTTTTTTCTAAATTTTGTTTGGGTTGGCAATATCAAGCTCAGAGTGGACCGCTGCGGGGAGCGGGTTACAGTAGCAATTGTGCTCATCTGTGCCGACCAATTGCTGACTGACTGCTTTGGCCAGCAGCTTCAGACACGTCAACTGCTGTGCAGTCAAGACATGTCGTGCTCTGTCGCCGGCTATGGCATGCCGGTCGGCCGCTGACAAAGACCCGGCCAGGCACAGCAGCCCACCGGCATCTTCTCGAGGGACCAGCCATCTCCCCCTACGCTATTAATCATCACGGCGCGCGGCACTGGGGACAGATGAACCTGGCCGCATAGTGGGCTGTTGTGGAGCCACTAGACCCCAGTGCCCCCTTTTCGTTTTACCCTTCAATGTTCTCTTTCTAGTATCTTTGAACAATCGGCGCCGCAAAACGTGGCTTACGTACTTGATTTGTTATGTGGGTTCTCAAACGGCCTCGGAAATCAAGATACGGCTCCTATAATATTTCCGCAGTGGTGATTCCGTTTTGATCAGGGTATATATATTTCATCCCCGTATTCCACCACGGTCACTATTAGAACCATTTTGCAATTGCGCACGTCAGTAACACATCGCGCCTTCCCCCACATAGAGAGCTTCATCATCACGACAAACCCCACAACAAGTCACTTACATACATACACACTGACCAGTGGCCACACACAAACACCCTCATCCTGCCTCTTCTATACCTTGATACAACAGCAAGAACAAAAAAAAAATGTCTGCCGCCAAGCTCTCCGCCGACCTCCTCATCCAGATGGCCAAGGCCCGCCGCACCATCTACGCGCTGGACAAGAACCTCCCCGTCTCCACCACCCGCATCCAGGAGCTCGTCAACGAAACCACCCTCCACACGCCCTCGTCCTTCAACTCGCAGTCCAACCGCGCCGTCGTGCTCCTGGGCCCCGAGCACGACAAGCTCTGGGACATGACGGCGTCGACGCTGCGCGCCATCGTCCCCGACGACAAGTGGAAGCACACCGAGGACCGCATGGCCATGTTCAAGAAGGCCGCCGGCACCGTCCTCTTCTTCGAGGACGACGACGTCGTCAAGGGCATGCAGGCCGCGTTCCCCTCCTACGCCGACCGCTTCCCCGCCTGGGCCACCCAGAGCGCCGGCATGCAGCAGCTGCTCCTCTGGACCGCCCTCGAGCTCGAGGGCCTCGGCGCCAACCTCCAGCACTACAACCCGCTCATCGACGACAAGGTCGCCGCCACCTGGAGCCTGCCCAGGTCTTGGAGGCTGAATGCCCAGCTGGTCTTTGGGGGCCGCGCCGGCGAGCCCGGCGACAAGGAGTTTAAGCCGCTCGAGGACCGTGTCAAGGTCTTTGGTGCGTGAAAAAAAAATGCGTACATACATACACACACACACACGTCGGGTTGACCCCGCGAATGGGTTTCTGGGATTTCTGCATAGCGTGCTGTATAAAAAGAACGACCTATACGTTGGTGGCAGTTTGATTTTTTTTTTTTTTTTCGTTTTTCGTTTCTTTGTGTTTTGGACTCGGGGTAGTCGGATTGCGCGTCTACCTGCCTTTGAACAGGCTACTTGCTGTTTGTCGTGCTCGTAGAGCCCCATTGTCACAGTTTTTCCCCCAGTGTCTTCTCCGCGGCGCGAGTATAAAGATAGAGACAGAGACAGAGATAAAGAAATAGACAAGAGGTCTTTCCACAAGCCCTGGAGCCAGTTGTTAGTACATTGATATGTCAGAGTTCATATAGAAGCAGTCCCGTTGTTTCTTCACACTGCAAAAGAGAATCATAGATATCAGTGTTGTTACATGAATATGTGAGTCTTCGCATCGCAGTAATTCCATTGACCCATCTCCACGGTGCAAAGACACTCATGGATAACAGTTGGAATCTTTCCACAAGCTCTACAACCCGGTGTAACTACGTTGATATGTGAGTGTTCGTACAGTAATACTTGAGTTGTGCTCCAATGCAATATACCTCCCCCTCCCCCTTAAAAAAAAGAAAAAACACCTCACGCAGAATAACCGCCTTATCCACAAGTATCATACAAATACACTCCAGTGTTCTCGACTTAGTCCTCCACGATTCGTCCAAGGGCTTGTCCCATCTTGATCGTCTGTCCTTTCTCCACTGCCCAGTGCCATCCGCTAATGGGCTTTCCCCCCTCCTCCTCCTTTTCAGAAGGCGCCTCGAATACCAAGACGATGGTGCTGCCCAGCTGGAATCCACCCATCTCCTCGCCTCGACGGAGGGCGTGGCCATGAAGAACCGAGCTGGCCCCCTCGTACGTGGCCTCGGCAAAGCCCATGTACGGCTCGCCGTGTTTGGCCGCTTCCTCTGCGGCATGATCGGCAGCCGTGTCCGTCAACAAGCTGTTTGTTCGCAGCTCGCGGTCAAAGTTGATCTTGATGGAGCCAACATTTGTCGCCCCGACAGGCACGTAGCTGAAGAAGCCGTAGCGCCAGCGGCCCAGAAGCACCACGCGCTCGTTCAGGGTAAACAGACCGGGAAGGGTTCGCTGCAGGTATGGCGAAACACTGTACAGCTCTCCGGCAAAGTGGCGCCGTCGCTCGACGACCCAGTTTGTAGGCGAGTGGAATCTGTGATAGTCACCGGGAGCTAGATAGATGACGGCGTAGTAGAGTGATGTGCTCTTGTCCGCGGAGACGATGTCATACCAGGGCTTTTCCCCAAGGGCTAGCTCGGCCCGAACCTCGGATACGGCCCCGGCAGAGACTTCGGTCGACTCATCGGTTGTCGGGTGAGGCTTTTGAGCATCGGCCTGGCCGGATAGCAGATCAGGGAGGGTGTAGGAAATGCCATTCATCTTGGCGAATTCTTCCTCCTGCCTGACCACTTCCTCATCTCCGTGGGACACGCTGCCACCACTTCGAACAGATGCGGAGCTTTGGCCAGAGGCGATGCTGGCCGTGGGTGTGTTTTTGCCCAGCAATGCATCGACGCTATACGTCATTCCCTTGACCTGCTCGATATCTCCGCCCTCAATTCGTCCATACTGCAGGATTTTACCGTCCGACGGGGAGAGCAGGGCGTGGCTGTCGGGATCGAGAGGTCTTGCGCCAGGCTTGAGTGTGCGGTAGAAGAATGCAGCCAGGTTTGGGTAGACGTGTAGGTCGGGTTCGGATACTTCGTCAAGGCTTTTTGGGCTGGTATTAGCCAAGGGCGACATTCAAATGGCGAAGTGAGGCCATCGAGAGAACTCACTTGACACCGAATATAAAAGAGTAGAGCTTGAATCCAGGCACACGCAGGTAGTACGGGATTGTCAGTTCGTTGAATTTCCCCCAAATCCGCGAGATGGCCTTCAGGGGCAAAGTTGACATTACTTGAACTTGCCTGGAGTGCAAATCCCGTTAGCCTGGCTCTGGAGGAGAGCGGGGATGCAGAGTGACGATTTTGCATACCATGGCCCATCGGGTCGAATCCTCTGGCGCCTTTTTGGCTGCTCGCTCGAGACACCAGCGTCTTCCTGCCGTCGCTTCTCCTGCTCTCTCGCAGTGACTTTGTAGAATTGCACCAGGCCGAGAAAACCGATGCCCACGCCGACAGGGATGTGGTACCAAGTTATCTTGCTGTTCCGCAGGGCCTCGCCCAGGCGCTGAGAGAACCCGGGGCGTCTGGCATACCGCGACGAGAAGTGCCGAGCAGCAATTGGCGTTTGGAGAGGGTATCGGAAGCTCAGCAGGGGGGTTGTCACACGCTGGTCTGCGCAGCTGGAGCATCGTCGGCGAATGTTGGCCAGGGCATGTCGTCGCAGGAGCTGGCCGGAGCCAACTCCCAGAGCTGCCATGACTGTGGTCAACCGGAGGTCGAGGTACGGAGAATGTCAGATACCGAGTGCGAAGCTATGCAGCTGGCATCGAGTTGGATTGGGGTCCCAGCGGCAATTCGCGAGGACTTGGGGGAGGTAGTCTTGAACAAATGCACCTGACGTAGTCACCAAACCTGGTGCTTGCGAGATGGAGGAAGAGAAGGGAAAGTGGAGGTGTATTGAATGTACCCCAGCAAAGCAGCCACTCAATACCAACAGCTGATGTCACTCGGGTGCTTGGAGAGGGTCAAGTGCCTCACGTCTTTAATTTAAAACAAACAGACAATCAATCAATTGATTTCCACTACTAGATATGCCGAGTCGACCAACACTCTAAATTCCAGATTCTACATTCACCTCGGCGGTGCAACAAAAAACAAAAAAGCAAACAAAATTCTAAAAACGGCATCAAATGGAGCAAGTGCTAGGAACCCAGGTACTTAGGTATGTAGGGTATTTAGAGGTAATGGTGAGCCGCGCCATGTGCTACAATGTAGCAGCACTCAATGGTCTCCATGCATGCCATTCCTCTCCTCGCCTGCCTACCTAGGTATCCAACCGTATTCGACCACGCAGCGCAGAGAGGCCATCTAGATTCGTGCCTGGCGCAGCATCAAGTTGTCTGGTATATATTCAGGCACGATGCCGCTGCAGTGCACGGGAAACCTCAAGCCTGGTCTCGTCAGGCATGCCAGCGGCACTGTATGTAAGCGTGACCTTCTCGGATAGATTGACTTTGTCAACAACGATGGCCTTCACTGGATCTGGGTACTGTACTTTAAAGTCTTTCCGTGGCACCCAGATAACGTGTATCTTTTCCAAAGCCGCTGCTCTCTCACCAGCAGCAACTGCCAATTCTCGATGGAGTCGCTCACGAACAGAATGTGAGGACACGGACAGCGTCTTGAGCAGCCCAGGCTCGTTCTTGTAATGAAAAACCCAGGTAAGCCTCTTCAGTCTGGGACCCAAAATGCGCGCTGCAAATTGCTCGGCATCGTCACATGCAACGAACCCCAATCGGTCGGGGTATTTCAACTCCCCATAGTGCAAGCTAAGGTGTTCCAAAGCCGTACAGTCAGAGACGTTGAGTGTCGAAGGGACTCCAAATGCGGAAAATACCAGACTGAGGGCCCGGAGACTGTGCTTGTGTCCGTCGAAACGCATAGGGAAGGGGATGTGTGGCGTGGGTCGCGAGCAGTCCAGCAAGGTCAATTCCTCGAGGGCGTTGGGAAATCCTTCGAGTACGCTGGGGAAATCAAACAAGTTTTGGGTGCCTGCTATGGAAAGTGATGTAATGTTGCACTCTCCCCGAAGCATCTGAATGCCGTTAGCATATATGCCCGTTGTTGAAAACCGAACCACGCGTTTACTCACCGGCTGACCTTCGGCTCTCTCGCTCTCCTTCAAATTGCTCGTGATTCCTAGGTGCAACTTCCTGACTGACGATGGCCATTGCATGGAATATAATGAATCGAGTTCCCTCATATGATCCACTGTCAAAATTGCAACCGTGACCAATCTTGACATGTCTTTGACAGGGTCTAACAATCTAGGATACAAGGTGTTCTGCATCTCCGTAGTCCTTTTGAAACTGCAAGCAATCCAAAGCTTTGTCATATTTGGGAGGTCAGGAACGATTTCTTCAAGACTCCGCAAGAACTCTTCGCGCCCAGCAAACTGGTCTCCTGTCAAGTTCACTCCAAGCTCGCGGCACTGGTTACCAAGTTCGCGATTTCGCTGAAGCGCATTGCGGAGGCCCCGGGGCCAGTTAACTGGATTTAGCATGAATCCGAATCGCTTCATGTCATCGGCTTTGAGGGGGAAAGCGTCGTATTGGAACAAATATCGGAACTTGACTTGTTCTACTACATCGCGGAAACGAGAACAAGTAAGTGCCAAGTTAAGGATTGCTGGGCCATCACCTGGGATCGCACAGGATGAAGTCTCAGGACTGTCATAATCAGGATCCCGCATGGCGATGGCCAAGTCGAAGATTATCATCAGAATCTCGACTGTGAGATCTTGAATGCCTGCCATTATAGTCTTGTGCTTCGACAACTTGTCAGACTAGCAGACTCGGGTGAAAAGGTCCTGGCAAGGTAGGCGAAGAGAGGGAGGCAAACGGAAAACTGGGAAAGAGATGTTGATAGTTGTGTCTTTACTATTCTTGTTTTGCATATAACTAGAAACTGGCCGTGCCATCCTCTTTATATACTCCATGACGGACTCGTGAGACCATGAAATGAAGACTGAACACATGCAGTGAATACAGATGGCTTTTTGTGGCAATGTCTGTTGTCTCAAGAGCGATTTATAAAGGCCTGGTTCGATTTTCTTTGCTCGTGCCCTGAACACAAACAGGCCAGCCCCTTGGTTGGAAACAGCACTTGCTCTCCACAGTTAGTCTTTTGCTGAAAGATATTGGACTGGCCTCTCTGTCCAAGTATTCCTCTGAATGTTGGTACATAACTTAGTAGGCATGTTGTGTCGCGACTTGCGGAAACAAGGCTTGGAGTCCAACCGCCCGTCGTTACTTCGACGAGAGCAAAAAGGATGAAAGCGCATTGAACGTGTACCCGGGGGTCCGAGAACTGTGGCCGTGCCCTGTGTCTTTGTTGCCGAGGCGATTCTTCCCAAGAGCTCTGATTCAACATGTCAGAATGTCACATTGAGCCAAATTCAAGTTCATTGGGCACAGGTTAGTCCCCGCGAGATGGTCCATGTACAAGGCACCACGTGACGAGTGCGTGAGTAAACGCAGCACCAAGTCATGGCACACAAGAGAGCGCTCTATTGTAGACTGGACGGGCTATATACATTATAGTAGTTGCCGGTGCAGAACCTGCTTCAGGTTTGGCTATTTTAGTAGCCTTTTATAGACTAAGAGGAAGTATCGCAATAGAATAAAGTACTTAAGTACTTAAGTACTTAGATACATAATGCAAGCAGGAGGCACCTGGGGCCTTTGCTGCGCCGGACATCGGGCAGGCAGTGGGTCACTGGGTCTTCTGTACATGGCTGGGCACAACAGTCCGGAGCCTCAACAGGTACCTGGCACCGCTAGCCAATCCCGAAAAAGCCACCGTGGAACTTTGGAACTCGACATTGAATGCTCCAGAGTACGACTCAGCACATCAACTACAAGCAGCATGTACCCAAGTGAGTGACTGGCATTTCATCACTTCACCACTACATGTGCATGTGCAGCTTGGCCTTTGCTCTTGGCCGGCGCCCCATTCCCATTCAGGGTACTTCTTCCTTGTGCTTTGCTTTTTTTTTCTTTTCTTTTTTTGCGACGACATCGTCTTGAATAGGGAAACACGACTCACTGCGCACCCCTCTGACCCTGGACATGATCTGACACTCGACGGCCAACCTCGATCAATTCAACAGGTTGTGGCTGCTGTGAATAATCGTTGTTTCCTTCGAACCCTCGTCTCCATCCATTGTCTGCAAGACCGGGCAGCTGAAAGATGGCGTCTGGACCATTGGACTCGCAGCCCGCCGAAGCCGCCGGCGCCGGAACTCCTGGGGAGCTTGTTGTCAACCTCCAGATTCTGTCCCCGTCCGTGGGCGTTAATCGCCCGCTTCTGTTTCCCGACCTGCCGGCTGTGACAACAATCAAGCAGCTTAAAGACAGAATTCGCCAAGCGCTTCCTCTGCGACCAGCCGATGAAAACCAGCGCCTGATCCACCGAGGGAGAGCTCTGTTGCGCGAGTCGGACAACTTGCTAGACGTCTTTGGCGCCGATGCTGTGAGTTCAGTGCCATTCATCATGCCTACTTCGACTCTTGAGTTGGCTTGCGTCGAGTTAACCAAAGTCCCCCTGATCACAGCTTCGAATCCCCGAACGGCAAACCATTCACCTCGTCGTGCGGGAACTCACCGATAGCCATTCGTCGAGTCCTGCGCCTACAACCGCCCGAGGTCCGAGTCCTGCGTCCACCGCTCACACTCCAGTTCCAACGGCGCAGCATGCTGCTCAGATTTATTTCGGACCGCCACCTCCCCCTGGGCTTGCCAGGAGGACGCATTCCCAGCCTGCTACGCCCGGAGGCCACAATGCCCGGATACCTTCCCCTGCCTTGGCCCAACAACAACAACAGCAACCTCCTCACGCCAACGCCGATCCCGCCGCTGTTTTCCAACAACACCACCAAAACATGAACAACTGGCTCAGCCACATGCAACGAGACGGCGCTGCGACCAGGGCTATAGTCCAGCAGCACCAACTAGGAAGGGCTCACATGGGGATGCGAGGCATTGGAGACTCGGCCGGAGCCCCCAGCCATTCTGGGGCCAACCCGGTAGCTCCCAATAGTGGCCGGGCTAGTCCGGCAGCAACTCAAACCGTCTACCGTGAGACGGTTGGGCCTAATGGGCATAGCTACCACCTTGAAACGGTCATCCGGTCTGGAACACCAGGCCAACAAAACGGGCTTTCCTTCGCCGATGTTCAAAATATCCTGCGAGGGGCAGACGCCAACCAAGCTACGGCTACAATAACAAATGCCATGCAGAGAAGTGCCTCCGGAGCCTCCATACACGGCAGGCCGTTGAACCAGCCTGGCGTCACCACCCCTATACTTGGTCCCCGTGCCTCAACCACTGGCAGCGGACGTGCCACACCTGATTCGAGCACAAGATTTGGCTTGGGAGCCGGCCACTTCGCAGTTTCTACGGGAGCCCAGGGCGGCCCGTCGTGCCATGGTGCGGATCTCTATATGATTTCGTCGCCCCAAGGGCCTCGTGCCCTCTTGATGAGAAACCATACTGCCGAGATGTACTACACTCCTAGTCGGACGGTATTCCAGAACAGTATGCCTCCCTTCCGGGTTCCGGCTGGCTACGCCAACCCCGTCTATCCTGCCATACAACATCAGACACCTCAGAGTAACTACCAGCAACACCCACCGCAACAACAACAGCAGGGGCCAGAACAGCAACACCGGGGCGACCAGGCCCACGCTCCGCCGGCCGGACAGGGCGCCATGCACCCAGCAAACCCTCCAGCCGCAGGTCTGCCGCCCCTCTTGTTGCAGGCCTGGCCCCATATATGGCTAGTTTTCCGCTTAGCCCTGTTTGTTTGGCTTTTCACGTCTCCAAACTCCAGCTGGTCGAGGTGGTTTACGGTTATATGCCTTGCCATTCTCGTGTTTCTCCTTAGCACAGGAATTTTAAATGGCGTTGCCGAGAATGCTTGGCGGCCTATTGGCAGACATTTGGAGAATCTTCTTCCTACTCCCGAACAACATGTCCGTAGACAGCAACTACCGGCTGGCCACGCAGGCCCTCCGGAGCAGCAGCCTCTTGTTCAGGCAGGTGAAACAAACCCAGCACAGATGGCAGCGAGGTTGATGGCTGAACGACGACGTCAATCTTGGTTTACGGCCCAAGTACGTCGAATTGAGAGGGCTGGACTTCTATTTCTCGCAAGCATTGCCCCAGGAGTGGCGGAAAGACACATAGCAAACTTGGAAGCAGAGACACGCGCCGAGGAAGCGCGGAGGCGTGAAGAAGAGGAGGCGGCGGCGGCGGCGGCGGCCACAGAAGCAGAAAACAATGCCAGTCCAGGAGATACGAGCCAAACAATCACTGAGTCTGGTGTCGAGAACCAGACGCAGGAAGGGACCACGCATGGAAATGAAAGACAAGAGGAGCCTCGTGGTGATGTTGACGCGGATGGTGTCGGAGAAGACTTGATTGCTTTGTAGTAACGGGGTTGGTACGTGCATGGTTTTATAGACGGATGAATGAATGGTGGTGGAATATTGTTGGATGTACATCCTGCACACTACAGCAAGCGATTTTGAAAATAGCATTATCAGGGGTTCTGGCGCCATCATCAGACAGCCTGCTCAAGCGCCATCTTCTTCTTCTTCTTTCTTTTTTGATATTGTGGTGTCCATGAAACAAGTCACTACGGTAAGCTGCTACTATCTAAGGACCTAGGTAGGAAGCTCGCTCTGCCTGACGCCAAACCGCCCCGGGCCGATGACGGTCAAAATTTTGAAGCATCAAACTGCTCTCTGCTGGAGTTGAGCTGTTGCTTAGTTGATAGTGTAGGTGGCTTTGCTGACAACCAACCATGATTCCAACGGGGCGTTGGATTTAATCGATTTGAGAGCTAGTACTAAAGGAAGGAAACTGTGGTGTATTTTGGAGACATTCAATTTACCAGCACCGCCTTTTGTCGTTTTAAACCGTAAGAAAGACTTGGCCTTGATTTTCGCACATTCATCCGATGCTGGCATCTACACAACGTCGTCAATGGGGTGGCTTGGTGGGAAAGTTCCTTGTGGCGCTTGCTCTTATCTTATCGCTGAGAGTCGGGACAAAGTATCCCGCCGCGTGAAGCTCGTCGCAGCCTGCCAGTTCCATCCACCGAGATATGCAAGAGCGTTTTGGCTGCTGCTCCGAGCACACACCAGAAATAATACCTTTGCCGTCTACTATCCCTCCAATCCATTTTTCACATTCGACAAGCCCATCGCCGAGTCCGGGGGACAGTCGCAAAACTAGCGTATCGCCGGCGCAGCAATGAGCGGCGGGTGGAATACAAGTACGTCGTTCCGGGCCTGCCACCTTTGTCAGTGTATTTCAGCTAACCCGAGCCTCCTCAACAGTCGAGTCTGATGCAGTATGGACACCAAAGTAAATCCCACCGTAAATATATACCTCATACTGACGGGCCATATTTCCGTTGCTCCTAAATAGGGCGTCTTCACGTCTCTCATCGAGAACCTCGGCGTCAAAAACGTCCAGTTCGAGGAGCTGCTCACCCTCGACGCCGCCGAACTGGTGACTCTGCAGCCTCTGTACGGGGTGATTTTCCTCTTCAAATACCCGACCGACCGGCCGTATGCTACGCCAGACGGACCGCTCGACGGGTCGTTCGACCACGGCGCCTCGGAGCAGATGTTCTTTGCCGCCCAGACAATCCAGAATGCGTGCGCCACGCAGGCCCTCCTCAGCGTCTTGATGAACAAGACGGAGGATGTCGACATTGGACACCAGATGCGGGACTTTCGCGATT